GACTTTTGATAGGTTGTAATGATAACGGTGATGAGTTCTATTCTTTCGAATCTTTGCTACCGTATATTTACGGTAGTGTGAAAACAAAAACGTAACATCTCCGAAAATATAAATGATATAAAAACAGCATAAGTGCCCCATTAAAACTAAAAAAAGTAGCGACCTACATACCTGTCACTACTGGGCACAGGCCACAGACCTTTTGGCCAAAAAAAGTGCCAACGCTGGATCACCTCAGCTGGGGAACTTCTCAGATATTCAGGTTTTCTTTCACCGCCGAGAACGTGGTAAATCGACACTTCAAATTGCATTTACATATATGTAAAGATATATAATAATGCTTATGTACTATGAAATTTACTTTTGCCTTTGACAAGTTAAATAAAATATATCTTTGTTTAAGTAAAATCTGCAATCTTCGATATTTAAAGTATTTTTTCGCAACAGCCTGTTCATTTCCATATCTAGTGTGAGCTATGAAACCACTACTGTCACAAAAATTTTGATTTGTCTGATAATATGAAAACTCAAAAATACAAAAATCCAACAAACTGATTTATAAGTCTCATTAAAGGTATAAAAACTAAAGTAGCAGCTTACATACGTCTCACTACTGTGCACACGGCTCCCCATTACCTATAGTGTTTGTGAGCAGAAAAGAGTATGCCGCAATCCTTCAACTACTACTCCGACATTTAGGTTTGCCCACGAAGTTTTTCTTCACCACTTGTATGTAGTAAGTCAGTGCGTAAAATTTCCCATAACAGATTCATTTGTCCTCAAAGGACTCGTACACGTTTTGCTCCCTTGCCGTGATGAAATCTCACGGCGAGCTACACGGCTCTCGTATTTGTTTAAATAAAATTCATAAAAACTGAAACAAAGCTTTTGTACCATTGTTGACCATATCTACCGAGTAATTTGAAACCCAACGATACATGCACATAATTTCCAATTATTTACATCAGATAACGTGATAACATATGAAGTAGGTAAAATGAAACCTATGCCGACAGACAAACAATATATTGAACTAAAGAGCTTCTCTCCTAATCTCACTTTTGTGTACAACAGTGTTGTTAGCCATTTTGCCAAACGTGGTTATTGTGGTAAATAATCCCGATAATGACCACCGGTCTAGATATTTTTAAGTGTGACAATTTTTGATGCTGCACGAATAAGAATTCGGTAGCATTCTAAAATTAAATTTTATCAGTTGCTTATCATTAGTTTATTTAGAGAAAGTAGAGGGCGCTAAATTACATTAATACTATGAAAGTCAAAATTATACTATCTAGTAATATCGGCTATAGAAGAATCTCAAGAGCCACCCCAAAACCGGGAACATTTATTTATTATATAAAAAAGGTAATCAGTGATGTTGATTCTGTTAAAAATCTGTTTCCGTTAAAACACACGCTATCAGCGCCGCTAGCGGTGAAAAACTATATGACGATATGAAGATATTGTCATGAAATAGCAATATTGTGTTAAGTTAGTGATATCGTTAAACGATCTCTATTCTTTGTTTGGCTAAGCGATATTATGACATGGTCAACAAACAGTGATAAATATCATGAAATGACACTATTTCACGAAATAATGATTTCATGAGAATTTTGCAATAATTGCAGGACGGACCAGTTTTAATCAGTTTACATAGTATTAAACGTATGAAAATTGATATGTTTTTTAGTTCAAAATAATATAAATGTTCATACGTTTGATAGATGATGTCATGATGTTTTTAGATAATAGATGTCACTTTTATCTATTATTTTTTAAATTTTAATTATTGCACTTTTAAAATCAAATAACGATTAAATTAAGACTTAGGATTTTAAAATAATTTTATTAATGTAATTATTTAAACATATAAATGTAAGTTATTTATATAATTTATTAGTAACTAAAGGCAAAATGTAGGCTTTTTTCATTTGATGATAGATGGCGCTGTTTTGATAATTAAAACGTATATCGTCAGCGGAGTTTCAAATTGTTATGCAAAGGTTAAAACTAATTTAAACTAAATTTACAAATATAGTATTTCTTTTAAAAACACCTGTCTTCCCGCCTATTAACTAAAATAATCATATATAATAGAAAATTAACATCTAAAGGAAGAAAAATACTTAACCTTCTTTTTTTAAGTTTCGTAATCGGATAAAAAGTAGCCTATAAGTTGCCCCGGGATACTAACTACCTACATATAAAATTTTATGGAAATTGGTCCAGTAGTTTTTGCGTGAATCGGTAATACACAGACAGACAGACAGACAGACAGACAGACAGACAGACAAAAATTCTAAAAACCACTAATTTAGCTTCAGCATACTTTATTTAGTAATATGGACTTGTTTTTTCAAAAATATGTTACAATTACAGACACGGCTTTTCTACAGATTTATTATATGTATAGATTAAGTGGCCTTTTGAAATTATTGGTAATTGTTCAAAGAGAGCTTAGTTATCTTTGTTCTGAGCCGATAGTGTGAACAGTTTCTGTTGAAAAGTGGCATTTCTGTTCTCAATGACCATGTCCTTCAGTTCTCTAAAGATCCTATTTAATTATATTCTGTCATGTTCTGATCTGCTTGCTTCCACCGCCTCCTCGTTTTACGTTTTTCCTCGAGTTTACAGCGTATTTCAAGAAATATGCTACATTTATTTGACGGGAGTCCCAGAGTCGGAGTAGCACGCCATGTCGCCACCTGTATCAGGTTTGTGAGGTATGGCGTTGCGCCACTCGTCCTATCCTCCGCGACTCTGACGGGATCGCACCGTTAACTGATGCGGTGGTGGTGGGACTGCGGGGGGAGAGGAGAGTCGGTACTGCGAGGCGCCGCTGTCCCTACCCTCCAGCAGCCGAATTTTGGTTGGCGGCGGAGCCATAGACCAGATCCGCCGCTGGGGTCAGGAAGGCTAGTGCTTCTGAGTGCTCGTTTTTCCTGGCCCCATGGCCTTCGGACATTAGACACGGAGGCGTCCGTTGTACACGTGAAGTTGGAGGTCGCGCCATGTGTTCTGGCGCGCCTTATCTGAGAAGGAGACGGGGGAGGAGTAGTCCTTACCCGAGGAGGGGCCGCCATAAGGAGGCCAGTGGTGGGAACACGAATGTGTCTGATAGCGTTCCTGTGGCCTTGCCAATATGCGACGTAGGTGACGAAGGAATACCATGGGGTTTTAGTCGGTGCGAGCCTGACATAACCCGTCCTTGCACCGTGAGGCGGGTAAAAAAAAGGTTTGTTTCCTCTTGTATGTATCTATTCGGTAAATGCATTCCAGTCTGTTTTATGATTGCATAACTTGCGGCTTTGTTCTGTGTATTATTGTTATGCTCAAGGTTAGCAGTACTGACTTACTGAGTGATCTGATAAGGTATCAAGTGACAATTCTAGTTTTAAGTGTATGTTTGAGAGCCCCTCTGTTATGAAGAAATCGAGTATATCTGGTATTCGGTTGGAATCCGTTAGCCAATAGGTTGGTTCACCTGAGAAGTTAATCTATGATTATCTAGACATTTCTTAAGCTCCCATCCTCTAGTTGTTGTCAGTCTGCAGCCCCAGCATGTGTGCTTGCTATTCCAATCACCGGCGCAGATATACCTGTGGTTAGATAGCATATCCTGCTTAAGTTTATGCTTTGGCAGCAGTATACAGAGCTTACATTAAAAGGGCCAAATTTGTCTTCTATAGTGACAATAGTAGCTTGTAGCCAGTCTTCCTTAAATTTGGCATGATAGTAATGTTTTTTTTAATATAATATAAGGGTGACAAACGAGCACACAGTCCACCTGATGATAAGTGGTTGCTGTGGCACATAGACATCTACATCTACCATCGTTTGCGAATTAAAATGCAGATGCGTTGTCAGCCGTGAGGACTAACATAGAATGCCTCTGTTCCAGTAAAAAGGGTCTCCGATTCTCTACACTCACCATACGAAACACTGCAGCATTAAGCTGCTATTTTACACTGGTATTCTGTAAGAGCGTGGTCCTTCCCTGGTCGAGCCGACCCATTTGTGCTACAGCTAATGTAATGTAAGTAATTATGTCAAATATTATTCTTTACAATTACCGCTGTTCCACCTTGTGATCAAGTGATTTGTGCAATATATAAATAAAAATCTGTATGATGTTTTTTTATTTAATAAAATAGTGTATAACCATACAAAACTTCCCTCTTATAACTAGTGTAAGTTACATTTTTAACATAAATATAACAGTATACATAATACCAAAACTTAAAAAAATATAGGTAATTTCCAAAAAAATTGCACAATTTTTAAGGCCCCAATTCTATTGGAAGAAAGCTTTTATTGCTATAGATGTAACCTTTCATTTGTTAGTACTAAACATAAATTACTTATTTATGTAATATTATAGTTTATCAGATCACATAATACATAGATGATTTGTGAATTTAAAATGTTTTGGAAAGATAAAACTTTACCTCTTCACAAAAACTACTTTACAACAATGCTGACTGTTGAATAAATTAAATTATGATAAAAAAAACTATTAAGTCACTGTACTGTCATCTATAAAACTTCAAAGTCATGCAGTTAAATATTAAAGGAAAAAACAATTTTTGAAATGTTTCCTAGCACTATAGCTCAGAATAATGATTAGTAACAATCAATACAGTCGGTTTGCATTTCAAGGTGATATGTGTGACCTCTGCATAAACACTGAAAGTACTTTATATGATAATATATTTTTGATATGGTACCTAATTATTGTGATGATATTGATACAATTCTTATAATATAAAAAGAAATAATAATGAAAACTGCACTGTAATGCACAACATATATTGTTTGACCTCAAAACAACCTCTACCAATAAAACAACTTGAAATTGGAATGCACATTTACAGTCTAACAATGGGCTTAATCCAACCATAACTAAGCAAGTATATTATAAAAGTGATAAAATATAAGAAATAGAAAAATAAATACCATCACCTCTTCTTCCAGATTCACAAAGTAAAATTCATTTAAGCTAGAGTAGGTTTTTGCCACTTATAAGAGCCTGAGTACTTAAAATCATTTTCAGCCAATTTAGCATCAGCATCGGCAGGCCCACGAGACCCATAAACATAGGGTATAGGCTTAATATGTTGCTCTTCTAGCTCCTTTAAGACTGGTGTAAAAATGCGCCAGGCCTCTTTCAGTTCATCATTGCGCACAAAATGCATTTGTGTCCCTGTAAACACATCTAAAATTAACCTTTCATAGGCATCTGGAACATCTGTCTCTCTATAGCGTAGGCTATATGTCAAATCAAGTTCAGTTTCTGTCAAGTCAAACTTCATTCCGGGAGATTTACACATGAGTTTTAAATATAAAGCTTCACCAGGCTGAACTCTTATTACCAGTTCATTCCTTTTTGTTTGCCCGAAAATATCTCCAGGGACATCTTTGTACTGTATTCTCACTTCTGCTTTTCGTTCATTAAGGGCTTTACCACAGCGAAGAATAAACGGTACACCTTGCCATCTTGTATTATTAATGTTTACAACAGCTAATGCATATGTTGGAGTAACAGAATCTTTTGGTACAGTTGGATCATCTAAGTAGCCAAGTTTCTCATCACCTTGTCCATTAGGATTACCAACATATTGTCCAACTAAAATGTCACTCAGTTTTATTGGTGGAATGTGTCTAAGAACTTTAACTTTCTCATCCCTTATATCATTTGGATTCAATGTCACTGGTTTTTCCATTGCAACTAAAGAAAGAATCTGCAAGAGATGGTTTTGCATAACATCTCGAACAATACCAAAATTGTCAAAATACCCACCACGACCTTCTGTACCAAATGGTTCCTTAAATGAAATAAGGACTGAGGCGATATTTTCTCTATTCCAAGATGGGTTAAAAATCTGGTTGGCAAACCTTATTGTCATTAAGTTTTGCACCATTTCTTTGCCTAAATAATGATCTATTCTGTAAATTTGATCTTCTTTAAACAAACCTGTTAAATGGTTACTTAATTTATCAGAACTTACATCATCTCTTCCAAAAGGTTTTTCTATAATAACTCTAGTATAACCTTTAATAGCATGACATGCATTCCTTATATTAACTGTGACATCCTCAAATACTGTTGGTGGTACAGCTAAATAGAAGATTCTATTTGCCACTGGGCCTTTTTCAAACCTTGTAATATGTTGATTTAGAAACTCAAAGTCAACTCTTTTATCATAAGACCCAGACACATATGAGTTTGCATCCCAAAATGCTTCAAACTTTTCTTCTTCCCCATTTCGCACCTTCATATATTTTTTACATTTTTCTCTTACTTCTTCAAGTGTTTGTTTAGTTCTAGCATAACCTACAAACTTTGTAGACTCTGGCAAAAGATTATCCCGATATAAGTACCAAATTGTGGGATATATCTTTTTCTTCGCCAAATCTCCCGACGCTCCTAGTAAAATGAACGTATGGGGATAATGAAAATCACGTTTGTTCTCCATTTTTGTCTTCTTTACAATCTTGTTTAATTTGAGGCAATAACAGTGTACAAATTTTGGAACCCGGTAATACGTTTATTCTTGAACTATTACTTTACTAACTTTAAAACTTCACTAACTTACTTTTAATAATAATTTGGAAAAGTGTAAATAAAGAAAGAACAAAAATTAAAATGAAACTATACAAAAAAAAATTGATCTTTGATGACAAAAAAATTACATTATTTTTGAGTCGCTACCTTTATAATTTCTCTAGTCTGTGATGATTAAAATGATTAAAATGAACCACAGAACACAATTACTTTCTTGCTCTGTGTCTATGTCGGACGGTGTCGGAGTCGGAGTTGTATTTTTGAGAGGTGCTTTTTATAGTACGGAAACGGTACGAACCATAGATCTTTATTTATTCTATGTTAGATGTCGTTTTGGTTGATTGGTTGTTGAGAAAATTCTTCAGGAAAATTCGTCAATTAAGACAGGCATAAATCGTACACCATAAGCCTTACCAATTTTGTTTTTCTTGAAATAATGAATAAGTAATTATATAATCATTAAAGCCTTGTCTGTTTTTCTTTAGATACATAGGATATGCATGTCATTAAAGGAAAGAAGCATAAGCTAGGCTGAGCTAGGCTAGCTGTTACAAGATACGCACAAACAAGTGCGCGTCTGTTTCTTCAAAATTCAAGAGTACAAATACGTCCTACGGGTTGCCCGCAACGTGCGGCGCATGCATAAAGCTCACGCGATGGCTACCCGGAGCGTGATTCCGCGCACGGGTTTGTTTCATACATACATATATAAACACTCACGCCTATCACCCAGAGGGATTGGCAGAGCCTTACATTTGGCACAATCCTGACACCTCTCTCGGCTCCTTTACATCCTCCATCTACCTACGCATCCCTGCTCGTCATTAAGGATACTCTCAATTTGACCCATCTTTAATATATCACCAATTTGGTCTATAAACATCCGTCTAGGGGGTCCCTTGCCGACTTTGCCATTCTCTTTAGCAACATAAATTTCTAGTCACTCATTATCTTATTCATTCTTTGTACACGACCAAACCACCGAAGCATTATTTTCTTTAATCAGGTCACAACACCATCTTGCAAATCACATCTCTCTTATCACACAATCTCTCATCCTGTCTTCAGATTCACCCCTAACATACTCCAGTACTACACATACACACATACCACCGTATTCCTACTACTCTCGTGCTTATTCTGTCACACCCAACTGTCACTATACTATACATTAAAGTAGGGACTAACACATAATTGTGAATTGCGTCGTGCCTTTTTTGAGATATTACTGACTTCTCACAATATAGCGAAGAGCACTATTAACACTGTGCCCTGCTTTTACTGGTCGCTCTATATCCTTGTCACATCCAACATATCCTAAATAGACAAACCCGTCCACTTGCTTCACATATTGCTTTACTTTCTTTTGTTTCAAAAACAATCACATTCGCCTTACTTACGTTAACTTTAATTCTCTTTTATTTTAATGACATGTTCTTTAATGTAACCATCATTCGCAATTCGGGCCACCGACGGCTCAAAATTCAGTTGACGGTAAACACATCTATTCTTAATCCACATTTTTAAATTTTCAGTTTCCAAACAACTGTCCATATGGGTTGAACAGCCACGTCGAATCTACACTGCCCATTCTGAAACTTTATGGATGCCTAACCAATCCAATTAGGCCCCGTTGATACTGACACAAGAACCAGAACCCCTATAAAGAGATTTTAGTGCCTTTTTTATTTACATGGGGAAATGCCTAGGCATACCCGTTTCGTCGAGGGCAAGGACAGGTCATGTTGGGCTATCACTGACTAAAACCCCATCATCGCCACGTATTGTCAGGGCCACGGAAACGTTTCCGCAAACAACCGTCATCCCACTAGCGCTTACTGTCCCATGGCGGCCCTTTCTTGGGATGAGACTACTCCTCTTCCTTCTCCTTCTTAGGCAAAGAGCACTAGTACGTAAGACGCGCCTTCCTTTGCGGCCTGCAAATTCACCCGCACAAAGGAGTTCCCCCTGTCCGATGTGTGGAGGCCATAGGGCCAGGAAAAACGGGCACAGCACTAGCCTTCCTGATCCCAGTGGCGGATTCAGTCAATGGTCTACGCCGCCAACCAAGTTTAGACCGCGGAGGATAGGCAGGGTGGCGCCTCACAATACTGATATTTGCCTGCCCCGCGGCCCCACCAGAGTCGCGTATGATAGGACGAGTGGCGCATCGCAATACCAACACTCCTCTTCCCCTACAACTCCACCTCCGCTGCAACGGTAGTGGGAGAAGACACCCCTCTCGCCGCAGCCCATCAATATATATCCGAAGTGGGCTCATTAAAGGCATTTGGATTGTCAACCTCGGGCCGCCCCTTCACTTCGAACCAGCCATGTGGGTTCCTCTTAGTTCACTATGGATGACCAAGCCATGGCTATTAAGTTCCACCACTATGACAAGACGGAAACCTGTTGGTTGAACCTGTGGAGGGAGATTTTAGTACCTGTATCAATCCAGCGCTCAACCCAAACGAGCCAAGTCTTTTCCGCAAAGCATACCTGTTCACTCTCCTGTCATAAACCCTTTCCAAGTCCAAAAACGCACAGTAAACTTTGTGGTTTTGGACCATAAACTACTTTCCCTTTCTAAATCCTTGCTTCTAAAAGCTTGTACATCTCAAATTCTCTCAATCAACACCTTAGCTTACGGTTTTCCCACAATACTAAGCAGGCTGATTCCACGGTAATTTTTACAGTCCTGCTGTTACGCTTTTCTCTTATATATATGGACTATAAAGTTTTTGCACCAGGCTCCCGGTAATCGCTTTAGTTTCCACCATAAATTAAGTAAAGTGTACACCAGGTCTGCCACCACTCCCACTCCAGCCCTTAGCATTTTTAGTGATACTTTATCATACCCAGCTGCCTTACCTGATTTAACGCTTTTCATTACTTTCAATATTTCATCTATACTTATTTTACTGTGGACTGATTTCAAAATATTCATGTAGGAATATTGGAGCTAGCACTGATGCGACAGCGCTGTACTGACTCCAAATGAATTCACACTATGTCAGTATCGGGGTAGCACTGACTTGTTTGGAATTTGGAGTCGGTAACTAACCCTGTGTAAATCCGTCTTAATGCTAATAGCAATAACATCACAGAAACTATAAGATTATTTTTATTTTTATAGAGAGATTATTTTTATAGACACAGACTTAAGCGCATTAAGTTGGAGATCAGAAGTCTTAGTCTGTAGTTCTCTCTCTTACATTTTGTTATTTATTCATATACTCAGTGGTAGATTAAAACGAACTTTTTTTTTATAGGATAAAAGCATGAAGCAAATACAAAGAGGAGACGTTGTAATTAAATTTCACTATGTAACACTGCGTGACAATTTGGCGGGGTAAGGGGATGCAAGGCCCCGCCCACTTTACACAATCTACATCTACCGATAAATAGTAAAACTACTCGAATCTTTCCATATCGATGTTGCAATGTAGCTTAACTACCTTGACGGTAGATGGCGGCATGTCCACAAAATGTTATAAACTATAAAAATAATATTTTGACGATTAAAATTTCTTTATGTCTGAATGCAAAACAAATTTCAGCACCTTCGTATGATTATTTTATCATTACTGAGCTCTACGTACCTTTATATTTTTAGTTCACAGGAGACAAAGTGTCGCTATCTAGTGTGGAATATATTTAATTATATTTGAAAGCCGACGCAAAGAGATTTTTTTAGAACTATTTTAATAAATTAGGTATAAAATTACTTAGAAATGAAATGTGATGCTATCCATAGCATCGGAGCGTCTATCTCATGAAGGAAGTACATTCAGACAAAGAAATTTTAATCGCCAAAATAATATTTTTATAGTTTTCATAATAATTTTGGGAACAGGCCGCCATCTATCGTCAAGTAAACCTCATAAAAAATAACAAAAAGACAGGGCCGCAATTAGAATTCAATTATTTTACCCAGTAACCCAACATTCAATATTAAAATGAAGGAAATTGTAATTGGCTGATTTTTACGAAATGTTTAAGTTATATTTAAGTGACATATTCTATATGCAAAGAATCACTTAAATACAATTTAAATATGTTTATCATTTCGTGAAAGTCAACCTTCAAGAAATATTTATTTTATCCATAAAATAAAGTATCTTTGAAACTAAATATTCTATGTTCAATATTAAGTAGGAGTTTAATTTGGAACTAAATATCCTACTTATCTCACTAATATTATAAAGGCGAAATTTTGTGTGTTCTTTCTGTCTCCTTGAGCTTATTCCACACTAAGTATGTGTAATTTTTTCACACAGAAACGGCTGGACTATTATTTATGTGTGGGTTATACTACTTAATATCTCTGAGGGAGAACAAATAATAGACAAATTATTATAATTAATATAATTTTATTTACAAATCAATTAAAATATAAATATTTTATTCCAAATTAGGCATCCGAATGGACTTTTTGAATGCCAATCTAAGAACATTAAAATGTATTTAAGTGATTCTTTGCATATAGAATATCACTTAAATATAACTTAAACATTTCGTAAAAATCAGCCTAAGTACAATTTCCTGCATTTTAATATTAAAAGTTGGATTACTGGGAAAAATAAATGAATTCTAGTTAGGGCCCTGTCTTTTGTCATTTTTATGAGGTTTACTTGACGAGAATACGGCCTGTTCTCAAAATGATTATAAACTATAAAAATAATATTTTGCGATTAAAATTTCTTTATGTCTGAATGCAAAACAAATTTCAGCACCTTCGTATGATTATTTTACCAATACTGAGCTCTACGGACCTTTATATTTTTAGTTCACATGACACAAAGTGCCGCCATCTAGTGTCGAATATATTTAATTATATTTGAAAGTCGACGCAACGAGATTTTTCTAGAACTATTTTAATAAATTAGGTGTAAAATTATTTACAAATGA